TCAGCTTCCTTCACTGGCTGAGAATGATTATTCTCATGGTTTCTCTGTTGAGCTGACTTTGTATGTTTCCCTTCAGTGTTTTGGGAGTGCATCTGAATCCGTGTTTCTATGCAGAAAAACCAGACATTTTACAATTCCTTGGGGTAAGTGTGATGTGATAATCTGTCCCTGTCAGCAGGGACAGAACTTTCAGTCCCTGGGAGGTGAGAAGGAAGAGGAGGGTGTGAAAAGTGAGGTGCAGACACTTTCAAATCTGGACTGTCTGTTTCTTCTGCTTATATTTGACTGGCATGGAGAGCACTTTTGGCTAAGGTGTGTGACCCTTAGGTCCAAGAGATGACTTAGAAGCAGTCATAAATGGCCAAGGCTTTAGGAGCTGCAGTTTTCTCCCTGACATGGCTGGGGAGGCTCTGTGCCAGGTGAGGATGTGTTCACCCAGGAGGGATCCCTTCAATCAGGACATACTGTCAGGTTAGGGCTGCTCTTGTTTGTTTGGCCAGGTAAAACTAGCTGGAAAAGGGGCTGGTTTGAATGTGCAGCAGTAGCTAAATAAGTAATTGAAGATGGGGGGGCAGTCCCTGGAGAATCAGGGCAGGTTTGGTTGTTGAAATCCCTTGCTAATGAAGCTACCAATGCTGTAAATGGCAAAGGGAAAAAGAGGCTCAGGCAGAGCAGCAGGAAACCAGAGGACAAACATGTTTTAAACCTTCCCTTGCTAACTTGGTAGATGGCTTTGATCATTTCACAGAAACCAATGGGGGAAGGAAATGACACCAGAGAGGCAAAAAAATCCATTTTATCCTCCTTTTTCCTCTTTTTCTAATGTTTTCTTCAATACAGCTATGGCAAAGGTACAGAACAACAGCATAAAAAAATAGAGACAGCAATTTCAAGAAAAAAGGAATGCACTGAATGCTACCTGCTGTCTACCCATTTCAGATAAAAAGTAGTGAGTCTCAATGCACATGTATTAATCTCAAGAATTCAAGTTTTATGTTGAACCGGTTTTTTCACTGAAATTTTGAAATTTGATAAGTTTAAGGAAAAAGCAGAGAGAGAGGAGAAACAGGCAGGGTCTAATCAAGGACTAATTTGTTTCAGTCTGTTATATACAAATATCACAGGGAAATGCCTTAACATAGATGTTTTATCAAAGGAAAGCCAATGTGAGATCATAAAACAAAAGATGAAAAATGTCTTAACAGAAGATTAATAGAAACATAAATAGTCTCAAATTTGCTAGAGGAACAAGGAAAAGAGCCTCAGATGAGACACTTAAAAAAAAGAAAATTGTGCCTAGTCATCTTGAAAGAAGTTAACTGCAGTTATGCCATGCAAGACAATCAACTCAAGTTGAAGCTTTTCTATCCCTTCCTTCTCCCTCATTGCTCTAGGGTTGGGATCCGACAGTCACCATCTGCCATTGGTGAAACAGCCCTGCAGAGGCTTTGCCAGGAGCTGTGATGTGTTGCAACTTCACAAAGGGTGAGGGAGGTCCATACCACAGAAGAAACACCCCCAAAACTGGGTTTGGATATCTCCTAGAGATCACAGGAATCAGAAATGGCAGTGTGGGGTGTTAAAGAGGAATTGGCATGGTGGAGGTAACCACATGAGTCACACAGCTCAGGGTGGTCAAAAGTCCAATCACAGTTTATCAGCACCTTCCTCAAGGAGGCCAGGAGCTGATTGTAAATCAGGAACATGTTTTTCTAAAGGCTCTGGATGAGTTTTTCTTACATAGCAGTTTAATTGCTCATCTCATCCCTACCTGCCTTCAGCCATCTCTGACTTAAACAGATGGACCCTATTTTTAGGCTCTTTCACCTTACTGCTGTTGAGCACCCCTGAGACAGTGATGTGCTCCAGCATTTTGGGCTTTTCTGTGCTTCAGATCCCAATTTTTTAGAGGTTTCAGTAGAAGCAGGTGGTAGTTTTCTGTCATATCATACTCAATGGACAATGCTTAATATGCCACAGAGTTTTGATGCCTACCTCTGGAAAACAAAAAGGAACAGACCTTCTAATCTGTGGAATCAATACAGTAGCCAGCTCCTAGGATGGCTCACAGTTTTTATATGGCTGAGTTCCAATTCCATGCAGCTTTATTGTGCTCAGGTAATAGGCACTAGCACCAAGGCCTGCTCCAAAGTCACCTGAAGCCATTGGAAAGGCACTCTTGATCATACTGCTTTGAAGAGTTGCCCCCATCCATGTCTTTGTCTCTCTCAGTCCCCATGTCTTTGTCTCTCTCGCAGCCAGAGAGGACAAGAAGTAGCTCTGGCTGAGGGACTGAAAGCACCAGGAGCCCAGGCAGACCTGGAAGCAGCTCTGTGATGAGAAGCAGGGTTTGCTGTTTCAGACTGTGTCACACAGGCAGTGGGCTGCTTTACTTTGACCTCAGCAGATGATTTCACATGGACCTGACCTGCAGTGGCTGGACTTGAGTAAGAAACTTTGAAGTGTGGGGGCTTTCTGACACCTTTTACTGTGCTTTGAAACAAATCTATTGTATTGAAAAAATGTATTGAAATCTATTGAAAAATCTATTGTATTTCTTTAGGAAGTCAGTGTTTATTTTCTTACTCAGGTAATTATGTGTGATTATAAGCATGCCTCTATAAAATATCACAAGAAAAGAAATTTAGTTCAAATACTATAAGGACACAAATATGTAATACAAAAATCACCAGGGTGGATTTTCAGCAAGAGTTTTGCTTATTTTTTCCTAGTGAATACTCTCTGTAGTTCCTCTCAATGGTGGTAACTGGTTACATTCATTTATACGTGTCAAAAGGAAAAATATGGGGAAACTTTTTAGTCAGCTGTACAAGAGTATCTACTGATGGTCTTTATTTGGTAATTGAGAACAAAAGAGAAAAACCCAACCAGATTGCTAGATCTCCATGGGAAGCCAAAGAAGCTACAAAGCTCATTGTAACAACATGCCATGACTGGAGTAGAAGCTGGACATAATACAAGCAAAAGAGGTTAAGAAGAGAGGTGAGAATCTGTATTATGTTGTCATGGTCAGCAGCTACATTTATATTTTGATTTATATTGCCTCAAAACCTAGCTTCTTGCTGATATTGGAAAAATATCTCTGTCGCGTCTTTTCTCTAACCAAAGAAGAGCACTTTTCTCTGACCAAAGTGTGACCACATGCCTAACATCTCACGAAACAAATTCCCACATTCTCCCTTTCTTCCCCTTGCTCCTCCCAGACACAGCCTGCCAAGCCTGTCTTATTTCCCCACCCCCAGCCCGTACAGTCCAGCACCTCCTGGGGTCCTGCAGCCCTGCTCTGTTCCACTGCAATCTTTTGCCAAGCTTGTCTCATTCCCCCACCCCCAGCTCGTACAGTCCAGCACCTCCTGGGGTCCTGCAGCCCTGCTCTGTTCCACTGCAATCTTTTCCTTTCCCATTCCTTTTGCTCAGCTCTGCTCTGTTCCACTGCAATCTTTGCCTTTCCCATTCCTTTTGCTCATCCTGCTCTGTTCCACTGCAATCTTTTCCTTTCCCATTCCTTTTGCTCAGCTCTGCTCTGTTCCACTGCAATCTTTGCCTTTCCCATTCCTTTTGCTCATCTTGATGGGACTCCAGCAGCATTGCCCCTCCTGGGGAAAGGCCTCATCATGGGGACTGCAACACAAAATGTTTTCTGTTCCTCTCTTTTCTTTACTCTTTGGGGGAAACTAATTTAATAATATACTCTGCAAAGCCTTCCTGAATATGGGGCCCCAAAGCAGCACAGGCATTTTTTGTGCCAAAACCCCCTGTGAAACTCAATGCCACTTGGATATACAGCTGCTCTTGCCTTAGAACTCAAGGCAGGACAGCTTTTCTATCAAGGTGCCATATCCAGAATCACAACTAACATCTTGCACTTCCCACACCAGCGGTCCCTTGAGGCTTGAGGAGGAAACTGGACTGTGAATAACGAGGTATCTGAGCAGTTGGTGACTCACTGGAAGTCCATGGTCTGAGATATTGACAGTCTGCCAACAATTTTGTCATGGTTGTCAGTGAGAGGAAAGATAAGAACAGAACCACAAAGAGGTGTTGATTTTTAAAGGTCAGCATACTTGTGGTTCAAAGTCACCCTGGGAGCGATCTTCTGGATTTTCACAGAGATTCACTGATAAAAGGAAAACTAAAAAAAATGTGGATTATGTCCTTTTAATACAAAATACCTATAAATTAGTATTCTGAACAAAATGGCTCAAACTTAGCTGCATATTCTTCTTTGTGTTTCCAATGTGGAAGTTATCTTGAACTTCTAAACATTTCTCATCGTAGGAATACCAAATTTATGGGAATATTTGCTCGTGCATTTGATTGTCTCTCATCCCAAAGGTAATGTAAAATAAGTTTATGCAATGGGATTACCAGGAAGAAACCAATAAGCCCCATTTGCTTGTAGTTCATCATCTGTATTGAGGAAGGTGAGAAAGCCCCCAGAGTTAACAGATGTCTGAAAATCATGCTTTCTTTTTATTGTAGTCTTACTGATCTTTACCAAGTTGACAAAATGACATTCAACTGGTAAAAAATTGCTAGTAATTGTGTGAATTAATGCAGCTAATATCCCTGGGGTTTTCATTTGACACAAAACAAATTTAACAAAAAAACAAATCAAATTATCCTCAATATAAATGAGTTATAGCATTTCACAGTGCTAAAACCCCAGAAAAAAATGGAAGATTCTAAACCAGCTAAAAAAAGTCAGAGCCCGTTGGGAGAGCTGTAGGTCCCTGAACTAAAGATGGTTAGATGGAATAATTTATCCTCCAGGTGAGTCTTTCCATCTCTGACAGCATCTGTCTCATTTGTTATTTCTCTGCCTCCTACTTTATCTGGCTCACAGATGTTACCCTCCCTGCATTTTTGTGAACTTGTTAACACACTAAGATCTTTTCCCTTTTCATGTCTTGTTCTGTTGAATTACTCAGTCAAAAACATACATTAATCAAGCCTAATTTTTTCCTTTTGCTCCACAGATTCAGGCAGTGATTATTGCTTAAGACACCATCTCTTTGAAGAGTATATTGTACGATAATGCAGTAATGCTCCATTTCAGGTAGGTAGTCCAGATAATATTTTAAATATTACTATACTGTTCCTAGCTTGATTTTTTTTTCAGACTCAAAGCAAAATCATTAAAAATATCTTTTTGAATATGGGCAAAATAAGAATAGATCTCAAATATAAGCTGACATAAGCCCATTTCATCCATGCTGGGAAATTCCTCACTTTTTGTAGAAAGTTTTTCAACTTTGTGGCACAGCAGAATTAAACTTAAAACTCAATCCTTCCTTGCTGCCATTGCATCGTGCAGAATATCTGCTCACTGCAGTTGTGGAGCTGGCTTCTGTTAAAAAGACATTGTTCATCTTCATACTTCCTTGCATTGAATAAGTCCCTGGCACTGAGACTGAAATACAGAAAAGTAATGTGTGAACTTAAATTGTGCAGGTGAGAGGACCACTCTAATACTGTCACTGGGTTCTTTCTTTATGATTCTTTGAGAGCTTTGTGATTTTCTTAGCTCTTCACTGCCTTACATAGACGATATTTTATCAGTAGAGGAACTGATGCAGAGCCCTTCTAGAGTTATCCTGACTTCATTTAGAAAAAAAAAAAAAATAAAGGCTGTAACTTTTGTTAAGGAGAAATTCAGCCTGTCCTGAAATACATTTTTCTATAGCCCTCTGAATTACTGCAAACCTAATTCAAAGAATATGGCATTCTTACTTGTATTGAATAGACTTTTTCCTTTTTTTTAAATCTTAAAAATTTTAGAATTACTTCCCTTTTTTTCTTGGGAACTTATAATGATAATATTTGAAGTGGGGCACCATTTAGCTAGATGGTGACTGCAACAGTAGCATTGTTTGTTAGAATAAGCTGGACTGATTTACTGCTTTTGCTGCCTATTTTTATCCTCATGAACTTGTAACACCATGCTGAAGATGAAAAGTGAAACTCTTGGGAAAAGAAAAGTGGTTTTCTGTTTTGTGGTTTTTTGGTTTTTTTTTTCTTTCTAAGAACATGGTACACTTAAGGAAAATGTACAGGAGTTGAATGTTCTGTAAAATTTCTTAGAAAACTGTATTTATGTGGCTCCAAAAAGGGACTCCTTGACCTGCATCACTTCCTCATGACTAAGCAACATTGTGCCATAGTAAGCACATATCAAAGGATTTGTTCTTAGCCAGATCCTCCTCAGCTTGTCCACTGCTCCACTTATTGATCTTCTTGTCTCTAAAAGTGGTAGCAAGTCTAATAAATTCACACTTCAGCCTTGACGCAACGCAACAGAAATCTTTGTCCACCACAAGATGCAAAATAATTGAACCCAGGCTTCCAGACATCTGAGTAGAAACATGGAGTGTTCAGAATGTCTCAGCATATTTAAAGTTTTTGGTTCTTCACCAACTAAACCCTTTACTTTATATGTATTAAGTCAACATGTAAAAGAAACCAATCAACCACCACCAAAAAAACCCACCAGCAGAAAAAAACTCAAGACTTTTAATTTGTAGATGGTAGTATTCATATTCCTTTGAAAAATCTCCTAATAGCATCGAGCAATCCAACTCCTCTAGTTTTTGCGAGAAAAAAAAGAATAGAATATTTAATAAATTTATTGTAATAGAAAATTTGCCTTGTCTTGCCTCATTGTTTTTTGGTTGGCTGGTTGGTTTTGTCTTGGCCTTTCTGTGTTCATGGTATTTTCTTCCTTAATCCTCCTTAGATTTAGGATTAGAACTCAATCCCTACACTAGGTTCAGAAGTTTGCTGAATTAATCTGTTGTTGCTTGAATCCCTGAAGTGCGTTCTATTTTATTATGGAATGCTTAGGAATTGCTGAAACTTCAGTGGAGACTCTTAATGAGAAGCTGGAAGTCCAATGATTAATTAATGTATTGTAGTCTCTTTTACTTGGTTTTAATTCTGTACCATTGCCTGGGGGAACGTATCTCTTAGGTTGTCTGGCAGCAGCCTCATTATTAACAGAAATGGGCCATAACTTCTTCAAATAAAATATTTTCATTGATCTTAAAAGAGAAATTTTAACTTTGAGCACTTTATTTAGTTTCATAGCTTTCTTTTCGTCCTGTTGTTCTAACAGTGGGACCCCAAGGTCTACTCCACAAGGTCACACCACTTTGTGCTGTGCATCATTAGGGCTTGCAGGTCAAATACACGTGGGTCAGGAGCTACACAGCTGTGAAACTCAAAAACAACAGCAAATATTAAAGTTTAAGTGGATGGCATTTGTCCTCAGAGGTCACTTGGAGTGAAAGTACCCAGTGCCATTTTGATTCTGGAGGGAGCATCTTTCTGATACCTTTCCTAAAGAAACCAAACAATTCCAATATTTGACCTACAGTCACTGGAGCTTAGGACCACAGACAGTTTCAGATGTGCAGCTTACACACAGATCTTCTTGAAATCAAGAAGAAAAAGGACACTCAAATTAGGCCCAGTGGGCAATTTTCAAAAGGCAATCAAAACGTTCAGAATTATTTGTTGGTGTCTGATCTACAAAAATCACCAAAAGCTACCAGCTGGCATTTTCTGGCCATGGGAATGGCTGTAGGCATGCTAACTCTACTAGCCCCAGCACCAAGAGCTGCCTTCTGTCTAATTAAATCCCATTTTAGTTTCAGGAACACATGGATTCACTTTGTGTTTTGTGAGACTATCTGGATTTAAAATATATATATAAATTAGTCACTGTAATATGAATTTGCCTTTTTTTTTAATTTTTGGAAAAAATTGTCTCTAGAATGAAACAATTGCTGAAAATTTTGAAATACTGTATGTAACAGTTTTGAGTAATATTATGTAACATTCAGCTGAAAGATTGTGACAAGATGCAATGATAAGTGGGATGTAAGAAGAATAGGATTTGGTAGGATAGGAAATGCTAGGATAGGATAAACAGAATAGGTATTTCAGAGTGCCCTGAAAGAACATACTCTTCCTAAGGCTGAAATCTGTACTCACATGGGCTGGTGGAATAGCAATATGTATTCTAGATAACCACATTAAATCAAAAAAACTTTGCATTTCTGAAGGGTGTGTAAATTGCTGTAGGCTATTCAGAGATTTGGGGTTATTCCCTCTGTCTTATCAGTTCTTATTTTTTCCCCTTACTTATTTCCCCACTAATTTTTGTCTCTGATACTTCACATTAGGTCTTTGTCTTCACTGTCATTGACTTTTGGAGTTGTTTATTCCCTGTAGTGTAAACTGTACTTATGGGAAGGCACCATCATTCCTCCTATAATATGGAAAAATCAAATCAAATATACCAGAATATTTTTGTATTGGATAGTCTCACTAAGGCATTTAAGAAAGAAAGTGAAGGGCAAGTTGAAAGATCTTTAGTGGCTTGACCCAGAAGCTTCTAGGTGCCCACAGCACAGTGTGTGTGCCTTTGCTGCATAAAATGGATCAGCAGTCAGAGGCACCAAAGATTGGCTTTGACTCATTTCTCTCAGTTATTTCTCACTAGGTTCTTGCAGGTCACTCATATTATAATTTGAATTTCAATTTCTATGATTTAAAAATGATCTACAGACCCATATGATCTACAGAATCAATGGATATTATAGACATGTTTAATAAAGGAGAAATTGTATCAGTACTTGGAAAACTATGAAAAAACGATCCATTTCCTGCACAGATCTAAGATTTATTGTTTCGACTAATGTCTGTATGAAGAGAATACATATATATGTATAATTTCTCCAATTACTTCCAAACTCTTTTGCTGAATTTCACATGGAGATAGAGTACATAGATACACAATTTTTTAAAAGGTTTGAAGTTGAAAAGTTGACTAGGAAAAAAAGGCGGGGACCAATAAGGGACAGACTAACATGAGCACATCCTCAATTGCACTAGGCAGACCACCTCTGAAATAAGTGCTTTGGCTGTTTCAGCCAAGGGAAAAGGATTGGTCAGAGCACGGTTTGTTAGCAAATTCAGCTATAACTCATCTCTAATAAATCAGGCTTTGCTTCTTCTATTGGTCTCAGAACTGTTTGTTATATGTTTATTTTAGGGTCCTGTGCCTGCCATAAATCTGGGGCTGTTTATCAGGAAGTGACAGTGATATATTGGTATGACTATGTTGGCTCCCACAAGTGGGACTATAGACACTCTGAACAGAGTTCATGTTTCCTCTTTAAAAAAAAAATAGAAAAAAGAAAAAAGTATCACCTATCATAATATTCATCTGTGGTCAGAGTCCATGAGTGGGGTTTACTCTTGACCAGAGGGGCTCTGAAAGAGCTAATTTTTGTTGGGTGAATTTCAATTAGTGTGCTTCACTTTATTGTTTTTTTTTTCCTTGATGATCTAACTTAAACAATAGAATTATTTTTTTTTTTAACATGGGACTGGACTGGATCTCCTGGGCTGACTCTAAAAGAAGCCTTTTCCTTTCAAGACTTTTTCTCTGTTTTGCCAGAAGTGGGAGAGCAGTTTCCAAGAATAAAAGTAAGGGAATTGGAGCAGGGCAGAATATTTTTCCTTGATGATCTAACTTAAACAATATAATTTTATTTTTTTTTTTAACATGGGACTGGACTGGATCTCCTGGGCTGACTCTAAAAGAAGCCTTTTCCTTTCAAGACTTTTTCTCTGTTTTGCCAGAAGTGGGAGAGCAGTTTCCAAGAATAAAAGTAAGGGAATTGGAGCAGGGCAGAGAAGGATAAGGTGCCTGGGCAGGAAGAAGAGAAAATAAAAGAGCTGGAAAGTGGTGAGAGAGGGAGTGGCTGAGACCTGAGGGTGTTGAACACTCTGCACCCAGAGGACCAGAGGACAAGGGCATACATTTGTTTCTCTGATGCCAGAAAACACTTGCAAAGGCCATTATCCAACCACATTTCTTGGTTTATACCGGATAGAGACACATGGTTACATTTTAGCCAGTGATTTTACATCAAGGTGGCTCTGTAGGACACGGCTTCAATACTATGTGCCCTGATACTGATTTTTGAAGACAGCCTGAATTTTGGATTTGAATAACTGACCTTGTACACCTAACCTTATTGTCTTATCATAATATGTGTGAGTTAATAGAGATATAGGGTTAAAGGAAAAATGCCAAAAAACAAAGCCTGAGTGTAAACAATGCAGCTGGAATGAACCCCAAACAAAGAGAGACAGGGTTGTTGCTGCCTGCTCATCTCCTTCTTCTCTACCCACAGCCACATAAAATGTGAGCTTTTCCTAAACTGGTAC